GTCACCCAAAAAAGCAAAAAGCAAAAAAAAAAAAAAGCAGGTGTGATGGCTGGGGAGGGGGCAGGAGACAGAGTGGGGAGTTTATTTGGGGGTACTATGTGCTGACGGTCACAATCCATTTTCTTTTTTTTTTTTTTTAATTTTGCTTTTGGGCCACACCTGGCCACGGGTTCCTCCTGGCTCTGCACTCAGGGATCACTCCTGGGGGAGCTCAGGGAACCATATGGGGCACTAGAGGATCAAACCCAGGTCAGCCTTGTGCAAGGCAAGTGCCTTCCCCACTATCCATTATCTTAATTGTGAGGCAGGGCTGGACGTTTATACATGTGTCCAAGTAAACCAAACTGTAAATATTTACAAGCCCCAAAGCAAAGAGGTTAGCTACCTTGTTGAATTAAATGTTAAGATTAAGTGACCTTCCATGAGAGCTGACAGCGGCAAGGTCCACTGGTCACTCATTCCCTTGGCCAACAACAGCCGCACGCCTCCTGGGCTCTAGGCGTCTTAGATGCGGGTGACCAAAAGATCCCGAATGAAAATGTTCACTCTGAGTGCAACAGACGCAGAGCAGACCAGTGGTTCTGTTGAGAACGCCTAATGATTCAGAGGAACATTCCAGAATATCTGCTGGGTGGAAGGGGAAGACTCCAGAAGCTGTAAGAACCAGAGGGCTGAGAAAAGGGAGCCCCAAGGGGCAGGGGTGCAACTTTCTGATGGGGGACACTGGCTGATCCGAGTGTTGGCAGGAGGTGGCAGGCGACCCGGGTAGATTTCAGCAGTTCCGGCAGAGGAATAGGACGGAAGTCAGAGAGCTCCTGGGCCAAAATCTGGGGCTGGGTGCGCTGGCAGACTGGTAACCTGAGTTTCATTTGGGGCTCCACCCACCGGTGTTCAGGGTTCTCACTCTGGGTGGTGTTAGGGGAACCAGGTTAGAAAACGGGGTCAGTCAAGCAAGCGTCTGGTTCCTTGCACGCTTTCCAGCGCTGAGAGTAATATGTATTTTTGTTTTTGGTTTTTGGTCCACACCAGGCGGTGCTCAGGGTCGACTCGTGGCTCTACACTCAGGAATCACTCCTGGCGGTGCTCAAGGGACCATGTGGGAAGCTGAGGATCGAATCCAGCTGGCAGTGCACAAGGCAAGCTCCCCAGGACTCCGAAAGGAATTATTTCACTTCTCAGTGAAACTCAACAGATTTCCCCACCGTCCACTCGGCCTGCCGCAGTATCGTCTCTCCAGCCCCAAGGGTGAAACTTTTTCTAGCATTTCTGAGTGTGAGGGATTAGGATTTGGGACCCACCCAGACAGGAAATCCTGCAGATTCCATCAGGCTGCTGAAGACCCTAGACGCCAAGGAAAAGGAAAACCAAACTTTTGCGGGGTGCAAACCAATCTCGGGTCCGGGTAATTCCTGGGTCTCGGGTGAGCCGGCCCAACTCTGAGGAGTGAAGAGAAACACAAACTCTCTCTGGAGCCAACAGCCTTCTCTGGACCTCTGCAGTTTATTTTTAATTTAATTTTTTTTTTTTTTGCTTTTTGGGTCACACCTGGCGATGCACAGGGGTTACTCCTGGCTATGCACTCAGGATTACTCCTGGTGGTGCTCAGGGGACCATATGTGATGCCGGGGATTGAATCTGGGTCAGCTGCATGCAAGGCAAACGCCCTACCTGCTGTGCTATTGCTCCGGCCCCTATTTTAAATACACAGTGTTCTTCACCCAGTAAAAAACATAGCAAGCGAATTCACAGGCAAGACCAAATGCCTAACACCAAGCAAAAGTCCAGACCATGGGTCCGGCATACGCTGAAGGTTAGTGGGAAAAGATGACCGATCAATTGCAGTTGATATATTCTAGGACAGAGAATGCAACGTGGACAAAAGGAATACAATGAAGACGTCCGCCAGAGTTTTCTTTCAACAGAGCACAAAGAAGCACGTGAAAATTCTCAACGGGAAATATGCAACCTTACCACCGAAACTTCCACAGACCTGAAAAGGAGATTGGACTCAACAGGAGACAAGGCCAACAAGCTGGTACATTAAAATTAAAATTAGAAAAGAAAAACATCTAGACATTGAGACACAGCGTCAGAGCCAGGGCTGTATTTTGTATAAAGAGAATCCTACAAGAATAGGGACGGAGAATGAGGCAGGAGCAATATTTGAACAGATCCCTAAATAGCTTCAATTTAGGGTATTTGGATTGGCTATTTGATCCAAACTCCAAATATCAGAGCGAGATAAATCTTTAAAGCAGTCAGTGGGGAAAAAAAGACAAATGTTCTAAAAGGCAACAAAGAGATTTACACTTTGCTTTCCCACAGAAATGATGAAAAGTCAGAATACAATGAACTGAGATATTTAAAGCACTGGAAGAAAATAACTCCCAATTCATCATTCTCTATCAGCAGAAATACACTCCAAAGCCCTAAGGATGACCAGAGCGGTAGGACAGTGGGGAGCGGAGCAAGTAACTACCTCAACTCGATCCCTGGCACCCCAGTTGGTCCCCCAACTTGTCTAGGAGAGATCCTTGAGCACAGAGCCAGGGGGAAGCCCCAAGCACAGCCAGGTGTGACCGCCCCCAAATAAAACAAACGAAAAAGGAAGTAAAAGTGATTCCTAGTCAAACAATACGGGGAGTTTAGCGCCAGAACTATGCTGAAAAGGCACAAAGGAGAATTCCTCCAACACCAGGAGAACAATCCCAGAGAGAAATGTGAGATGGTGGAAGATAACGGGAGCAACAGAAAAGGTGAATATGTAAGTACGCATAGATGAATTCGACTCAGTGGAACAACACCGCCATGTCTTTGGGGGGTGAAAATGTACACAGAATTAAAATGCACGCACCCAAAATGCAAAAGGCCGAAGAGTTATAAATGCAGTCACTGTTCGGAGCAGGAAAAGCGATCATTTTAAAAGGTGCGCTAAGCCCAGATCTCATTTGCCATCTCTCGGGAAAACAATAATAATACTAGGAAACAAGATTTTATTCGTCTAAAAGAAGGTCCTAAAGCAAGCCTATGGGGGGCAGGGAGGAAACCTTGGTTGTCATCATGCCTGTCCCTGGGGCAATGAAGTGGGGTTGGGGGAGAGAGGCTGTTTGAACGGGGACAGGGATTCTGCCTGAGCGACTCAACATTTTAGGCAGAGGGTTAATCGTTGATTCCCGAAACTCTGAGGGCCCTTCTACAACCAGCCCCTCTGAGTCCAGAACCCTGAGCTTTACAATTCTAAAGACTCCATCCATCCACTTCCTCAACCATCCATCCATCTATCTGCCCACCCACCCACCATCCACCCATCCATCCATCCACCCACCCGCCCATCCATTTACTCATCTACCACCCATCCACCCACCTACTCATCCATCCATTCACCCACCCACCCACCCATCCACTACCCATCCTCCCACCCATCCACCCACCTACTTATCCATCCACCCACCCACTCATCTACTCATCCACCCATCTTCCCATCCATCCATCCACCTACCCACCCATCCATTCATTCATCTACCCACTCACCCACAACCCATCGCCCACCACCCACCTGTACATCCATCCATCCATCTACCTACCCCCTCCACTCATACACCAATCCATCACCACTCATCATCCATCCATCTGCCTACCCACCCATCCATCTTCTCCTCCCATCCCCCCATACACCCTTCCATCCTGCTGTTCCTCCACCCCTCCATCCCTCCCTCCCTCCCCAGACACCTTACTGAGGAACCCCTGACTCTGTGCTGGGAGCTGGGCCTTTAGAAACCAGGAACAATCCCAGGCCTCCACCAAGCCAGGCTCTACTGATGCATAAAGAAACCAGACCTCTCCCAGACTGTCAAGCACCAACCAGCCACCTGCCAATCGCGCAGGACTGGGAAAGGTCCAAGATTCAGCACTTCGAATGCACTCCTGGTGAGGCTAATACTGTTGATTCAAGGACTGCTCCTTGAGTGACACAGAATCAAATGAGTCCAATAGAAAGTGACAATTGTGATGATAAAATTATAGTTCAGAGGTAGCAACTTGCTGAAACCCCCCCCCCCCCCGAACTGAGTCGCTGGGATCCGAATCCAGATCTATCGAACTCCCAAACCTTGTTCCAGGCACGGCTGCCTGTCCCCACAGCTTCTTCCTAAGCCAGAAGAAAGATTTCCTAAGGGAAAGGCACAGGGGTGGGTGTGGGATGTGTGGGGTGTGTGTGGGTGTGTGGGGTATGTGGGCGGTGTGGGGTGTGTGTGGGGTGTGTGGGGGTGTGGGGTGTGTGTGGGTGTGTGTGGGGTGTGTGGGGGTGTGGGGTGTGTGTAGGTGTGTGGGGTATGTGTGTGTGGGGTGTGTGTGTGGGGTGTGTGGGGTGTGTGTGTGTGGTGTGGGTGTGTGTGGGTGTGTGTGGGGTGTGTGGGGTGTGTGGGTGTGGGTGTGTGTGGGATGTGTGTGTGTGGGTGTGTGGGGTGTGTGAGTGTGGGGTGTGTGTGGGTCTGTGTGGGTGTGTGTGCGGGGTTGTGGGTGTGTGTGGGGTGTGTGGGTGTACGAGAATGTGTGCGGGGGTGCGTGGGGTGTGCATGGGGTGTGTGGGGTGTGTGTGGGTGTGTGGGGTGTGTGGGGTGTGTGTGTGGGGGGGTGTGTGGGGGTGTGTGGGGTGTGTGTGGTGTGTGTGTGTGGGGTATGTGGGTGTGGTAGGGTGTGTGTGGGTATGTGTGGGTGTGTGTGTGTGGGATGTGTGTGTGGGTGTGTGTGAGTGTGTATGGGGTGTGTGTGGGTGTGTGTGCGGGGGTGTGTGGGTGTGTGTGGGGGGTGTGGGTGTGTGTGCGGGGGGGTGTGGGGTGTGTGTGAGTGTGTGTGGGGTGTGTGTGCAGGGGTGTGTGGGTGTGTGGGGGGGAGGAGGGAAGGAGAAATGGAAAAACATCGCCGGGCATTCAGATCCTGGACCTCTCACAGCAGCCGTGTGACCACACCAGGGAGCCCCCCAACGTGCCGGGACCCATTACCTAGTGGACTGCTTGGCCAGCATGGCCACGTAGGTGACCACGAAGCTCTGGAACTTGGCCCGCTGCTCCTCCCAGCGGTCATCCACCGAGTAGTAGTTGGGCAGCGGCGCCCCGAACAGGATCTCGCTGCGCAGGAGGGAGCTCTTCAGGTTGTCTGCGGAGAGGCCCTCGTCCACGTACCAGTAGAACTCGGGGTGAGTCATGGCCAGCTCCAGGGAACCTGCAGGGCGGCAGCAAGAGGCCCCGTGAGGGAGACACCCCCCTCCCGCCCCAAGAGCCCTCCATCAAGCTCATCCTGCCCTCCCCTCCAGCCGGGCTCTGCCTTTGCTAACTTCCCCTTGGGCAGCCTCCAGCTGTCCCAATGGCACAAAATATGGTTCAGGGGAACCCAGAACAAGAACTTGCAGTTATTGTCAGGCTGACTTTAATTTCAGTTTTTTTTTCCTTTTTGGGTCACACCTGGCGAGGCACAGGGGTTACTCCTGGCTCATGCACTCAGGAATTACTCCTGGCGGTGCTCAGGAGACCATATGGGATGCTGGGAATTGAACCTGGGTCAGCCGCATCCAAGGCAAACACCCTACCCACTGTGCTATTGCTCCAGCCCCATCATTTCAGGGTTTTTTTTTGGGGGGGTGGTCAGGAAGGAGCCTCCCAAGCAGTGCTCAGGGAATGCAGGGGCACTTCCAGGCTGCCAGCACTTCAATGCTGGGGCTGGAGGGTGCGAGGCTGCTTGGCCGCGGTGCCAGGGGATAGCCAGGTGACTCTGGAAGTATTTGAGGGCTGCTGGGGCTTCATGTGATGGTGCTCTGGGGACCACATGATGCTGGGTCTTGAACCGAGGTCAGCCACATGCAAGGCACGTGTCTTGACCCCTGCACTCTCTCTCCCCCCCTCCCCTTTGAGCCTCCCCTAATTCCAGAGCTCAATTGCAAATGAAAGGCCCTGGGGCGCTGGAGTCACTGGCCTTCCTGTGCTTCATTTTTCAGTTGTCGAGATGTTGGCTATTGAAATTGAACAATGAACCGGTTTCATATTAAATCCCAGGTTAACTCCTGCGACTCCATCTCCTCATCCCATTCCTGTCTTCCTCTTCCTAGACCCCCGCCCTCACCGGCCAGAAAAGGCAAACCCATGCCGCACCCCCACCTTGCTTAAGTGCCATCCATTAGCCCCCTAAACCCTCCCTGGTCTTGGGCCACTCCAGCCTGGCTGGCCTCCCGCGAGACAGATACCCAAGCTTCCCGCTTTGCAGCCTCATGCCCAGACCCCAACCCAAGCTTCCAGGAATCCTTCGATCCAGTGTGTTCCGTCCCTTCCTCACCTCCCCTGCAACCCATCTCACACCCACCCCTGCTCCCAGTCCAGGCCCAGCACTTAGCTCGCCCTGACCCTGCCCTACAACTGCCGTCCAGGGGCCACGTCTGCCAGCCGCCCACCAATCCCGCCTCTCTCCCCCAAGGTCCACGCACGCCCGGCCTGCCTCGACCCTGCCCCCGGCCACCCTAGGGCCCCTCACCCCGGATGTCCGCCAGGTCCTGGCCCATGCCATCGTAGTAGATCTTGCCGCCCCGCTCGGTGGGGAAGAAGTAGGTCATGAGCGAGCTGGGCGGGGAGCAGTAGGAGTAGGAGCCCAGCGGCAGGTCCTTGAGCACCTCGTGGGGCTTCCAGCAGAACTCGCGGAAGCCCGGGTGGTCCATGATCTTGCGCTCGATCTCGTGGATGGTGACCAGCCGCTCGCTCGTGAAGATGTTGCGCTCCGCGTCGCCGCGCGCCAGGAAGATGAGCTCGATGCGCCAGTGCGCGTGCGTCTGGGTGTTGGCGCTCACCGAGGCGCGCGAGTAGTCCCAGTGCGAGGCCCCGCGGCGCGCGCGGCTCTGATTGGCTGCGGCCACGGAGGGGGGCGGGGTGCCGGCTTGGCGCCGCCCCTTCGGGGCTGGGGGGCGGGTCCCGGGGGCGTCGCTCCGGTTGGCTGCGGGCTCTGCCGGGGGCGGAGCCTCACGCGGTAGGCGCCGATTGCGATTGGCTGCTGCGTTCTGGGGCGGGGCCTCCGGAGCGGCTCGCGGAGCCCGCGGAGCCCGCGGAGCCCGGGCCGCTGCAGCGGGCCGCGTGCGGTTGCCCAGGTGCAGCTGCTGCAGCTGCTCGGAGATGAGCCGCTGCAGCGTCTCGGACGTGAAGTCGGCCAGGTCGCGCCGGTTGCGCCCCCAGGAGCCAAACTGGGACTTGAGCGCCAGCGCCAGAGCGTCGAAGCGCTGCGAGGCCTCGTGGTCGCGGATCTCGAAGGCGTTGTAGGAGATGTCGATGTCCAGCGGCGGGTAGGAGAAGAACATGAAGGCGGACAGGGCCATGGGGATGCTGCAGCCCAGGAAGAGGACCAGCCCGGCGCAGCACGGGTTGGTGAAGGCCCAGCCCAGGGTGCTCCAGAAACCCGAGGCCACGGGCCGGGAAGGCAGCGTCCAGCGGCGCCAGCAGCACTGCCCCCCCGCCCCGGCTCGGGGCCTTGGCTTCTGCGCCTTGCGAAAGGCCTCGCCCGTGGCTTCCTCCTCTTCCGGCTCCTCCTCGAGCCATAGATCCTGCAGCAAGGGGTCGTCCTCCGAGTCCATACCCTGCGGAGAGGGAGAGGGTCAGCAGGGAAGGGGGGAGAGGGACGGTGCCAGGGGCTGCAGCCCCCACCCCCACCCCCTGTTCCCCGCCCCGCCTGCACCCACCAAATGAAAGACTGCAGTGGGGTGATGTCCAGCAGACGGAATCCAACCCTGGGTGCACAAACCCGAAAGGGAACCTCTTGGCTCTCCACCAGGGACCGGCCTCTCCCAACCAAGCCCCGGCTTTCAGGGCCCCGGGAACTGGAGAACTGGATTCCAGCTGCAAATGAAAGAGACGTTCTTCCCCACGGAAGGGCTATTCCGGAGGAATTTTGACTCTGATTTCCCCCATTTTTTGCTGCATTTTAGAATTCCGGGCCCTTGCGAGCTGGAACTCCACGGCAATCAATTTTATTTAACGAGCAACTATAAAGTACCTTCCAGAAGTGGCAGGGTAGATGGAAATGAACCCGCTCCTTGGAACGAGCCGCGTCCTGGCTTGGAGCCTGGCAGTGTGTCTCCGAGCCAGGAGGCCAACCTCAAAGGAGGCCCCTCTGAAGGAGCGGGCCACAGCCGCCCCCGCGCTGGGCTTAGGGTCAAGGGTGGAAGTGCGGTGCTGGCAGTGGAATTCATCGCGTGCCACATAAACAGGCTTCTCAGCTCCCCTGGGGGCCGTCTGTGCCCAGCCATTTGCCGGTGGGGGCTGTCAGAGCTCTCAAGAACTCTCCGTGACTCTCCGCCCCCTCTTGGGGACACGGCAGCTGCGGCCACTGTTTGTCAGAGTCGGGCCACTTAATATGCAGCTCCAGCAACGCCAAACCTAGGGACGCGGGCAGGGCCAGGCATCTGTCTCCCTGACTCGGGAGAACAGCAGGAGGGCCTCTCCGGAGAGGGCACGAGGGCACGGGGCAGCCGGAGAACCCCGGCAGGGTGGCCTGAAGGCAGGCGACCTTCCTGGTCTCAGCACCGCCGCTGTCTCCCTCGTCCCGCCTGCCCTCTGTTTGGACGGGGAGACTCATTATCCCGTTAGACACCAGGCAGTCAGAGGAGGAAGCTAATTATGCCAGAGCTGCTAATTAATGCTGCTGTTCCATTAACACTCTCTAGAGCACTCCGTTTCAATGAGACGGTCTGTCCGGGAGGAGAAGGGGCCGCTGTCAGCCCAGAGAAAAGTGAGGAAGAGAGGACAAGGAAAGGAGGGACAGAGAGAGAGACAGGACAGGGGGCAGGGGAGAGAGAGGGGAGCAGGGGAGGGCAGAGGGAGGCAGATAGAACTAAGCAAATGGGGGAAGAGAAGATCAGACGGGGTGAGTGAGGGCTCAGGGTGGGTGGGTTAAGAGCAGAGCCCGGCCAGGGAGAGGCTGGAGATCCCTGCAGTATGCGAGGTTTCTAGGCACTGGAGAGAAAACAGCCAAGGGACACATGTGCCTTGCACGTTGCTGGCTTGCATTGGACCCCCAGCATCGCAGGAGTCCACCAGGAGTGATCCCTGAGCACCCAGGGGTGGGCCGAAACACAAACAAAGATGGATAAAAGTGGGCAAGCCCTAAGATGAGCAGCGGGCAGATACTCCTGTGAGGCGCCATATCTTCCAGTGAGCCTGTTGGCAGAGGGGGTGACCGGGGACTTCCCTCCCCCCACAATTCCCAGCATCAGGAGGAGGACGCTGAGGGTAATGGGGTGCAGAGAGCCAGTGCCACTACAGTCTCCCGAGAGACTAAGCCCAAGCATCGGTCGAGTATCAGCCGCGGCCCTCAGGCCAGGAGCACTGTTTGCCGGGTCTGGCCCAGGATTCCAGCCCACAGCAATGACGGGACTCTGTCCCCCTGCATCCCACGGGAATGACACTTCCCCCCCAGAAGTCCAGCTCCAAGGCCCCTTTCAGACTCTTGCACAAGTGTCTCACCCGACCCAGATCTCAGCACGTCCCTACCCCACCCCCATCCCCCCCACACACTGACTGCCTAGCAAAGTCCTTCCCAGCTACTGTCCAGCACTATCCCCTGACCTGGGGAGCCAATCCCGAGGCAGTCTAGGACTGATGGTCGGTAGGGGCGAGCTGTAGGCTGACAATGCCACAATGTCACTGGGGACCAACAGTGATTATACGGGGCAAATGGAATGTGATGCGTAGGGGACGAGAACGGGGAAGGGGAGGCAGGGGAAGTGGGACAGGGAAGGTCCGAGCAGTGATCACACGGGGAAGAGTGTGTAAGCAGAAACTAAATTGGTGGTCTAGATTCCATCACTAGAGCTGGAGCGGTAGCACAGCGGTAGGGCGTTTGCCTTACACACGGCCAACATGGCTGACCCGAGTTCGATTCCTCCGCCCCTCTCGGAGAGCCCGGCAAGCTACCGAGAGTATCTCGCCCGCACGGCAGAGCCTGGCAAGCCATCCGTGACTTATTCGATATGCCAAACACAGTAACAACAAGTCTCACGATGGAGACGTTACTGGGCCCGCTCGAGCAAATCGATGAACAACAGGAGGACCGTGACCGTGACCGTGATCTAGAGTCCCATTATTACCAGCTATTTCTCTAGGCTCCATTCTTTCCAATCAGTTATTTGTGTAGTACTTTTCCCAGGCCTCCGTGTTGTCCGACTGGCCGGCAGGTGGGGGCTGCAAGGGCTTGCCCTGGGCTCACCCCTATTTGTGTAGGGGTGGAGCAATAGCATAGCGGGTACAGCGTTTGCCTTGCATGCAGCCGACCCAGGTTCGATTCCTCCGTCCCTCTCAGAGATCCCGGCAAGCTACTGAGAGTATCCTGCCCACATGGCAGAGCCTGGCAAACTCCCCATGGCATATTCGAGATGCCAAAAACAGTAACAACAAGTCTCACAATGGAGACATTACTGATGCCCACTCGAGCAAACTGACGAACAACAGGAAGACAGTGCTACAGACAGTGCTATTTGTGTAGACTCCAGAGGTGTCAACATCCCACCTTCCATACCCGGCCATGGGTGATTGCCCATCATCGGGAAATGTCCGGGAAATGCCAGCCCTGCTCCCCCGGCTCCACTCCGGCACCCCCTGGCCAGGTCCCAGGAGTTCTCACAGTTCGACCGGTCCAGTTGGTTTCAGGGCTACAGTTCCCCACCCTTTGCGGGGGGCTCAAAAGGCATCAGGGAAACGATCGAGGCACCAGAACAAACATGATTACCTCTGAGTACCTGTAGCAAACCGTAATGCACAAAAGGAGAGAAAGAAGAAAAGTGACTGCCATAGAGGCAGGCTGTGTGTGTGTGGGGGGGGAGTATTGGGGGATAGTGGGAGGGAAGCGGGGGACACTGGTAGTGGGACATGGACATTGGTGGAGGGATGGGTGTTGGGTCATTGTACAACTGAAACCCAATCATAAGCAGCTTCGTCAGGGCCTATCTCATGGATGTTCAATTAAAAAAATTTTAATAGAAGAGCAAGGCAGGGAGCGGAATGGTGGGCACTCTGCTTTGGGGGGCGACAATGCTGTAGTACAGGCAGGTAGAGGCCCCCTCAGCCTCCAAGCCGCAGAGGTTGCTGGGAGGGTGAGGCCCACAGCAGAGAGCCCGGGGGACAAGGGGACAGAAACATCTGGAAACGACACTGAGACTCCTTCCTCCCCGCCTCTCCCTCAGACTCACACAGTAGATTGTATCGATTTATTTTGGGTTTTGAGTCACACCCAGCGATGCTCAGGGCTTCCTCCTGGCTCTGCACTCAGGAATCACTCCTGGAGGTGTTTAGGGGACCACAGGGGATGCCGGGGATCACATGGAGATCTCTCCAGCTCTTGGATGGCATTTTCATTATGAATGTTTAAGTTTTATCATCTTATTAGGATTATCATGAATCTCTATGGAGGCACCGTGATTTACTGTTCATGCTAGTTTCATGCATACATCTGTCTAATACTATATCCGCCCCCAGACGCCCTCTCCCCTCCACCAAGGTCCCCAAGGCCCCTCCTGTTCAGCACCCCGCTCTCCCCCAGTTCAGTTCTCTGGAACAACTACAGTTCTGCTGCCTTCAGCCACTGGTTGATCCCTCAGCGCGTATCTTTAAACCTGTCATTTTTTTGGTAGCCGTCCCTAGGAAAAAGTGCTGTCACTTGTTATCAGGGAAATGCAAATCAAAACAACAATGAGATATCATCACACACCGCCGGTGAGAACAGCATCTATCAAAAGTGGAGAAGCCATCCGCGTTTGCGGGGGTGAGGTGAGAAGGGCGCCCTCCCCCGCTGTTGGCGGGAATGTCGCCTGGCTCAGCCTCCACAGACAGCAAGAGGGAGACTTGTCCAAAAAAGTCGGACTAGAGCTCCCTGAAGAACATTCCGCCCTCCAAACACAAACACTAACGCCCTCATTCGGAAGGACCCACGCGCACCTCCGTTCAGCGCAGCATCTGGCCCAATAGCCCAGTGACAGAGACAACCCAGACGCCCAACGGCTACAGATGACAGTTTCCAACAATGGCCATAATCCGTCCTGCGTTTTCTCCTGATGGGCTGCCTCTCCCAGTTAGAAGCCGTCTCTGCATTCGGTCCCCCGGGGGTTCCCGAGACAAAGTAATAAAGGGGGACACGGCCTCCTGCCAGGCTCATTTGAGCTCTGAGTTCCCTGCTGAGCTGTGACTCAGTCTCCAAACAGGCCACCACGTGGGAGGAGTTCCCGCTGCTGGCCAGGCCACCACCAATGCCGAGCCTGAACCTACCCTATGAGAGAAGGTGTCTGGGTGCATGGGGCCCCTGTTCTCCACGCTCCCCTGCTTTCACGTCTCTCCAGTAGGGGCCCAGGAGGGGGCAAGCCCCACTACCCTGTCCCATGCCCTGTGCGGACACAGGCCAGGACCCTGGGCAGGAGCAGTGGCCAGTCACGGCTTACCAGGTATGCGGACAAGTGGGAACGCAGAAGCAATAAGTAGGACCGAGTGTGATGGGACCCCATGGCCTGCGTGTCATTCTGTGCCCTGCACACAGCATTTGCCAGATTTAAGTGACCATCAAACTGGACAGAGCCGTCTCCCTCTCTGAGA